CCAGCCAGCCAGTCCCAGCCAGCCAGCCAGCAGCCCGGCATGTGGCGGCACGGCATTACAAGCTCAGGGGCCTTATGACCTCGTCGCTTGCTGCCTAACCCTAAGAATAATGAGTCATTCAGCCCCCGATTCGTAAAAACACACACACACACACATACAGAGACCCTGCGTCGGGCGTATCGGTCTATCCTTGGCATCAGCTTCACTCGTTCGTTTTTGGTGGTTCGTCTTTTCCCAGTCCCCCCCTCCCGACCCCTCTGTGGCTCGCACCTCCCAGGGCGCCGTCCCCCCCCCCTCCGCCGTGCCGGCCGGTACCGGATTCAACACGACCCGGGTCACAGCCCCCATACCCCCATACCCCCTTCCAAAAGCAAAGAGAGACACGGACACACACACATATATATACACACAGGGCCCCCGTAGATTCCTCCCCCACCCCTTCCCCTCCCCTTCCCTTCCCCTCCCCCTCCGGGCAGTCCTCACCGCTCCAGAACCCGGATTGTTCGTACAGGTAGACTGCGGACCTCCGCTGTGGTGCCCGTGTCCAGCCGGGGGAACCACCGGACCTGTGTGTGTGTATGTATGTATATATGTATGTGTGTGTATGGAACAGGGGGATAACATCTTCACCCGTGGCCGCTGCACCCTGCCTTCCCCGGTATTTCGGGGCACCCTCATCCAGTCACCCTGGTCAACTTCTCAGTGGATCGCTCAGGTTCCGCACCCACCACCAGCACCCAACGGAATCTGCCGGATCGACGGCGGCCCAACTCCGTTCCTGATCAGAATGAATCAAATTAAATCTATCAGTGTAAGACTTGCATGGGCTGAGAAGATTCACAGCAATGACACCCAACTAACAACGACCAATAAACAACCCGCAACTACCTCGCTTTCTCCTTTCAAGCCCCCAAGCCTCTCACTTCGTCCTCCTCCTGCGGTAATAACGGCCAACCAACCTAACTGTTTATCTTCCGTGTACTCAGTTCGCCGGCACGATAATCCCCCCTCTTGCGTACGCCTTACCCAACCAACTACCCAACCAACTACCCAACCAACCAACTAACCACATCCAACGGTCTGGAAGCGGATACACGAACAACTTTCACTCACTTCAGAAAGAAAGCACCAACACGAAACCCGCCGTGCACGCACACAGCCATACACATACTCTCCTCCCCTCCCTCCTACCCCTATACCCCCA